GAAGGAGGGAGAAAGGGAGGGAGGAAGGGCAGAGAGAGGGAGAGAAGATTCTTCTGACAAGCACAATTTACATTGAGATCCCCCTGTGCTGCTATTTACTTTGAGACCTGATTAGTATGGGTCGTCTAGGGCCCCTCTAGCCCCCGCCCCATCACACACATGGACAGAGGGGGACGCATTGCGATAGGCAGAAAGGGGAAATTAAAAGGGGACGATGTGGGCTCCCTATGAAAAGTTGGTGTGTTTGTTTTGTTTTTTTTTCTCACAGGTCTGAAATCGGGATTTCTCTCCCGCTTTGCTATTGCAAAAGCCACCCCGGGGGTTTTAATGATGGAGAAGAAAACACTCGCCTTGCACGAAGGAGTAGGCACCCATATATGTGCACCACACAAACATGCGAGAGTCCGCGCACACGTTCAAATCCCCATATGTTCCCATCCCACCTCGCGCTATTTTTGCAGCCTGTCCCTCGTCCCTCACCCCTCATTCCTCACCTAACATGTGCACCTGCTGCCCGCAGGGCTTCGCGCTTCTCGCAGAGGTTTCACCCCCTACCCTTTAATTTTATTTTGGGGGTGTGTGAGCAGTCAGAACACCCCCAAACGCCCTACACTTAGTACCCTCCCCGTGGCTTCCCTTTCTCCGGATCCCATGATCTCCCGAAGTGAGTTGCTCCCCGCGGGTAGGGGGGATGCGCGGGAGGATGGTGGGGTGTCGCTCCCCCTCCTTTCCCTCGGCTCTCCTCCGCGGCCCGGCGCGGCCTCGGCCCCGGCGGAGCAGGAATCGCTGGCTCCGGCTGCCATCTAGTGGGCACTGAGCCGTCGGCCCGGGGGAGCTCGGGGAGAGGGGGGGAGGTACCGCGCCTGTCTGCGGCCTTGCACCTCACTCCCTCTTAAAAATAAGTTCTTTCCCTTTTTAATTTCTAATAGAAAATTACACTGAAGAGAAGACCATCTTCTTTTCAATTCCTCTCTCTCTSTCACAAGCCTGCCTTTTTGGCAGATTCCCTTCTGCCAGCGGTTTGAAATTTGCCTTGGGTTGGAAGACTGCATGTGACAAAGGAAAAACAGAGTGTAAAAACCGAACACCTCACCCCCGCAACAAAAAATCCCACCAAAACTAACGCCCCATAAAAGTTAGCTCTCATAAAAGTTGATAATCAGATTAGAAGCTGTATGGAAAACCTGCAGGAGAAAAGGGGATGAAATAGGTGCTAGAAGTTTTATTGTTATTTTTTTTTTTTTGTTAAGTGATGTTGTTTTAATTAAAAGTCAAGAGAGGGGGRAAAAAAAATCAAGTTTGATGCATAGTGATCACGATTTTATTTTTCTTTCCCTGTCAACTGTGAAATGTGAAGCTGGGAGCCGCCCGGAGAAAAAGATTCCTTCATCATGTCTAAGATCAGAATAAACGCTTGATTTTGTTCCAAAATAATGRAGAGATTTTCAATGAGTTCTTTGGCCAAGCCGTCTCTGTTGTATATTGCATTGATAAAAAGGATGTTATTGACTATGCAGTAGTAGGCTTCTTTCCTCTCTCTCCCTCCTTCCAAATAAACTCTCTGTCCTGTCTCTTGGTCAGTGAAAAGGTGAAACGAATAAGATTAAATAGGACAAAAAAAGCAAGCTCCGTATGTATATCATCTAGATTTTACTCCCCAGACTGTGAAGAGACAGGGAGTAAAAGAGGCAGAGCAAGGCACGGAGGGGGGGATACAGACAGAGGCAGAAAGCCTGAGAGAAGGTGGACGGACCCAGCAGCCGCAGCCCGGCTTCTCCCGGACCGGGCACCCTGCCGATGGCCCCGACTACCCGGGCCACCCCAGGCAAGTCGCCGCTTCCTTCCTCTTGGTTTCGGGGCAGAGGGAGGGGAGCGGGGCCGCGACACTTGGCAGGGAGACCTTCCCCAATCCTCCCCCCACCCGGGCCACCTCCTCCAACGGCGTCATTGTATTTGGGCATCCCGTTATTTGGGAGGAGTGAGAGGATCCTAGTTCTCATTCTGTCCGAGGTTATTTCTCCCTCCTCCCTTCCGTTCCTCTTTCCCCCTATAGAAAAGTGTGTGGGAATTTCCACTGCTCTCCTCCCCAGATAACGCGCGTGTCTCACAGAGGTGACCCACGCGGGTATGGTAGGCACCGACCTCACGTCCCAGGGCCAGCTGCAGCGGCAGGGCGCCGGGCTGGGGAAGTGCAAGCATTCCAACGTTATTCTCTTTCACCTGTTCTGTTTGTTATTTGATCACCTAATGAAAAGATCGATGGCAGCTTGTTTATCTGGGTGATAGTGTCAACAGATTACAGGGGCAGTAATCAGATGTTTCCCAGCCGAGCTGGGCACAATTGCAATACGGAGGGAGCCTAAACATGTTCAGACTGCCCTGGTCTGGTCAGCGGGGGTTGTGCGGCAAGGAGGAATTTTTTTCCCTTCCCTTGGCTGGAAACGCTTGGTGGTTTTCATTCGCTCCGTGCTGAGGGAAAGGAATTTTTAAACGTGTTTTTTAGAAATAGCCGATGGATAAAGGGTTTGAAGTTTGCAGGAATCCCGAGGAAAAACCCATCCCCGACGTCCTGTGGCCGTGCAGTAGCCTGTTGGGGTGGGGACCSGGGACGCTGGGCATCAATCAATGAAAGTCTCATGCCGCAGCTGATCAACTTAAAGCACAGTTCAGTCGACGAGAGGCATTTCCTCTCCCCGACAAATCACAGGGACACTTAAAACCGGTCACAACTCACATTTAATTGGGAAACAAGCTTTGATTCTTTTTTTTTTTCAACCTTTGTGGATCTGGAATGTGTAAAGGAAACGGCGCTGGGCACTTGGAGACTTAATTTTCCCTCTGTTGCAGCAGACGCTGCTTTCCCCAGGCCAGGATCCAGCCTGGGATCTGAAGGTGGAAGAGTTTTGGGAGTATTTAGCGGCTGGTTTTGGTTGATTTTGTTTGTTTTTTCCCCTCCTTTCTGTGTCTCTCTTCTCCATCCCCTCCTCCTCCCTCGTGTAACCCAACCTGGAACGGCACTGGTTCCTCTCTTGTCCCCTCCAGAAATGAAAAGTTCATCTGGAGATTAGTGGTGACGACTTTTACATGCTGTTTCTGGCGGGGAGGAAGGCGGGTTGGGGTGTTGGAGTATGATATAAA